GTGTGTGTGTGTGTGTGTGTGTGTGTGTGTGTGTGTGTGTGTGTGTGTGTGTGTGTGTGTGTATAGAATAAAAATATATGTAGAAAAAATATGCAAAGTTTAAGTTTATACAGGATCGATAAAATAAAAAAATTTTGCTTTTTCTCTTTTTTAAATATATCATGAATGAGTTACTGTTTCCATAGTTTAGTAATAGATAATAGTGTATTCCGTTGATACATAATATACAAGAAAAATAAGGTTTTTAATAATTTCTTTTTAAATTATATTTTGAACAAGAAGGATTAGTAATAATTATTTATGTGCATGTTTTAACATAATTAATATAATACGCATTTATAGCACAATCATGTCATTATATATTCACGTAATAATTGATGAGTTCATGCTATAGCATCGTGAAACAAGAGCTGCACTTATCACATAATTTCATCCATTAAATTCAGAAATATTATTTTAAACCTCATGCTTTCATCGAACTAAGCAAATGATTATAAATTCTCGATTACATTCAGATTATTTGCTCAGCATACTTCTGTTTTGCTTCTATTCTTAATTTAATACTATCATAATGTCAATTAATATAACACTTCTATATTACATACCACATTGTATATCAAATGTATTTAAAATTACATATGTTCAAATATGATCGTATATAATGGTCATATATTTATAATCATTTTGCCTGGAGTTTAATAAAAGCATAAGCATTAAAATAACATCATGAATGAATAAAGTTATATAATACAATAAGTACATTTCTTATTTATATATGTGAACAATCAATAGCAGAGATTTTTTAAAATAAGAATATTATACACGAAATCTGTGACAAACTAATTTTCAGAATAAAACATGCAATAGAATTCCATTGAAAACGTGATTATTCTTTGTCATCGTAGATTTATTGTTAGCTTTGTTGCCAGTGACATTATTCGTCAAGCTAACGACGTATACTCAACGAGTGCAATAAAATTACGTTTGGGACTTAACGTAGTGAAACATTAGCTTTGTGTTAATGTGCTCTAACGAATGCAAAGGTAATTTTGTGTCAGCTTTTCAACAGATTAAGATGCAAGATTTAATTTTCACAAAGTAAAAGAGATAGATATAGAAAGAAGAAGTATTAGTAAATAAATTTGTGTACGTGACATAACATGAGTAACATTGTGAATCATACACAATGCATCCCAAATTTTCATTTTTTTCCTTTTGCATGAATATGCTTTGAGCAATTTGTGTGTAGAATCCATTTTTCCTTAGTAAAAATTTAATTGGATAATACGTATATTTTACATAACTTTTTAATATTCAACATTGTCTATCTTCACATAAAAACAAGAGACAGAGAAAGAGAGAGAGAGAGAGAGAGAGAGAGAGAGAGAGAGAGAGAGAGAGAGAGAGAGAGAGAGAGAAAGAGAAAAGAGAGAAAATAACATTTAAATTAAAATTCTGTCGAAAAAGTAATATTCGCTTGAAATGGAATAAAGATCCTTTCTCGATTTGTACTTTTTGTAACTAATTAGTAAAAATTTCTAAATTTTTAATTCTTTTCAATAATTAATATGTCGGTATTTCATAGGGTAAAAGATAATTTTAAATTAATTAACAAATCTGCAGAGTAGAGAGAGAGAGAGAGAGAGAGAGAGAGAGAGAGAGAGAGAGAGAGAATGAGAAAATCTAGTATATACTATTTCTCTTCCAGTTATCAAGATTAACATTAAAGAGTGAATGTTTCAGTTATGTAATAATATACGTACGCTAAAATTGAATCATGACTTGAATGCAGTTATAATCACTCATATTATTCATTGGTTATTATGTTTGATGCGCCAAATCATAACAAAGCTAATTATTAAAGATCGATTTTCGGACGCCATGTAAATAATTATAGATTGATTGCAGTAAAATGGCAAGCATAGACATAAACTGGTCAAAGTCTTACTACAAATGTTTTGAACGTTTTTTGATGGATCAATTAGAAGAAAGAATTTCACAAATTGATCAATCAAAAAATGCTTTAAAACTTTTGTAACATTGCGTTGTCCCATAGTTGTTAAATGTTCTAGAGTTATTTTAAATATTTGAAAGAGAGGCATCAGTCATTGTAAATATGACAAAAGATACCTATTATATCTGTAACGAGTCTTCTTTTTATTTTTTCGTTGCAAATAAATAAATTAGCAATTTCTATCATTATTCACTAATTTTTATAGGCGAAATAATTTATAATTTTTCAATCTTTTTTTTCTTTGATTTAATTGCATTAACCGTCCTTTTAACATATCACTTAAGCCTTACCTTTCGGAATTACGAAGAGATTAAAAAATACCCAATACACAATAAGAGAGATATGAACTTGTACCAATACCACGTTGTATATCGATCATTTTCTCAGAGGAATTCATAAAAATGCTGAGAATGTAGTCATTCGCTAAATTCCATGTCTCCTGTCATTCGTAATAATGTTAAATCTGCACTAAGTATTTCAAG